CGTAGTAACGATGGTCTCAGTAGTAGGAGATCGTCGCGAGAGCGACGAGCCATCTCAAGCAAAGGATATTTTGGTCTCGATGGCAAATGGTACACCTCGCGCTGAGGTGTAGTCAGATCTGGGCGGCCGGCCGCTTGAGCACAAAAGGCCGCGGATACACGCTCCTTACCTCTCGCCTTTATCCCAGCTCGCTTTAGAATAGAAGGGCCACCGTTCGACCTGACTAAGCGGGATTAAGCAGGACTAAGCCGATTGAAACCGGATTTGGGACCAGGGCAAGGTCAGAATTTGACCTCCCTGTAGCTGCATTCGAAGGCAGGGACACGGTCGGACCCAGGACAGATAAACATCCTTCAACAACATGGAACCCTCCGCCAGCCAACCCGCCCAAAACCAAAAGAGAGACCCCAGGATGCACAAGAACCCCAACAAGCACGAAGAAGAACATCAAGGCACCCTCCCCGAAACAACCTCGATCTCATACCTCGGTCCAGCCGTTCTTGGGTCACCACTGGGGGTGCTAAGGGGGTAGGGGGTTGTAAGTGGATGCTAAGGTGGGTTATGTCTGGCCTAACCTAGCTTGTAACTGATTGCGAGTGCTGAAGCGGCTTACGGGGGGCAAAGTTCTGGGCGAAGTGGGTGAAGTCTTCTTGGTAGATTCAACCCCTTTAGGCCGCTCAAGGCATTTGTAACCAATGTATGAGCTAGGTTGGGCCAGATATACCCCAAATTAGCATCCACTTATAACCCCCCTATCCCTTTAGCAACCTTAGCGGTGATCCAAGTAGAGAGGCAACTGCTGGGAGGTCCTCAACAAAACAATGTCAAAGGGACTTGGCCTGATCATGCGGGGGCCGAACCGTGTGTTGACGGAACGCGTGGTGGCCTCGGAGTCCCTCGGAGTCCGTCACCACATTGTGTTGGGACCTCGGAGGCCCCTGTCGCCCGAGACGTGCTCGGAGAACGACCCGAGTCCCAAAACCGTGCGGTGACCCCGAACCCCACTGACTCACCACCCGGTGTCGTCAACACGCCGTCTGGGGGCCCCCGAAAAGAAGGGGCCATCAAGCCGGGCCGGCCCAGATCAGTCCCGGGGTTACGCCAGATTCAGCCGGACTGAGCCGGGTTAAAGCGGAATGGATCAATATGATGCTGGATCAGGCCTGTTTCCGGTCACGGGTATGATACACCATCGCCGATGCTGAATCTAACCTCCCAGGAATTGCATCGCCGAGCAGTGTTATAACAAAGGCATGAAGGGCGTTCTGCCGACTCGGCCGCGCATGCACCCGCGAATTGGGCAGAGGCGGGCAGCCGTGAAGGGCAACGACGGGGGGGGACTGGCTCAGCGGAGAACAACATGAGCTGCAAGCGGCGATGCAACGCCGATGGATCGGCGGTAGGCCCACGATAGCCAATCCGAACGTTCCTGGGCGGGGTGGAGACATCGGGCCCCCATCGGCGATGAACGGGCGATGGGGGGTCGACGCATCCCCCCTAGAGCCTCTTCCCCCCAACCATGCCCCTAAGTTGGCCACAGCTTGCCGCCAGGGACGTTGCTCCTGGCGGGTGCCTACCTGGAGCCACGGGCAGAAGAAGGGAGCAGTCTAAACTCAAAAAACAAAAAAGGCGGCCGGAGCCCCAAGACCTCCCGGCGTTGCGACAAGACAGAGCGCAACTGGCGTGTGGTTCTCTCCCGCGGATTCGGCTTCTGGAGGCCCGTGTCAGGCTCGAGGAGGCAAACATAAGAACGACCCGCAACGGAAGCGGGTCCAGACCTCCCGGCGTCACGACAAGAAAGAGTGCGGCCTGCGGGTTTCTTTCTCCCGCTGTTTCGGCCTCTGAAGGCCCGTTTCAGGCTTGAGGGGGCAAACAATAGAGTAACAAACAATTACGTAAACATAAACTTTCAACGCTCCGCGAGGGCTGCTTGGATCTGCGCTGGGACCCCCTCCCTGGCACGCGGGGCGCGCCACTGGCGGCGCCCGAGGCGCCGCCAGGGGGTCCCAGCGCAGATCGAAGAAATCCGCGCGGAGCGTCGAAAGTGATGCTCCTCGTCTTCGATCAAGCACAGAGACGATCCGCAACGAACACGGGTCCCTAAAGATGGTGTACACGCCGGTCGGAAGACGTGGCCAGAACCATGAAGTAGGAAGGCGTTCGAAGCAGATGGGGTCCGAGTCTCCGCCCGCCGCCCGAAGATGAGGGAAAAAGGGAACCCACTCGACCCTTGAAGCAGGAGGGCGCCTAAAAGCAGACAGGGATCTGGGAATCCAGGTATACCTACTTTCAACGACCGGCGTGCACAGGAACAAAAAAATGGGATCTTGCACCGGCCCCGGCAGGCCAGGCCCCTCCCAAACCCGGCCTGGCCGAGGTCGGTGCCTGCGCGCCCGCGGGGTCCAGATCTCCACGGGCCGAAGGCGCGTGACAATTCACGACGACGCTCGGACGTCCATTCTTGGAGGCCTCCTAGATGGGGTCCGAGTAGATGTGGTCGGATCGGAGGATTGCACCGCATCGCCGATGTATCGCCGATGCATCGGCGATGCATCGGCGATGCACCAGCGACGTCAGCGATGCCTCGGCGACATCGACTTAGATGAAATCGGGCTCCACATCGAGTCGGATCGTCGATGTATCGGCGGTGCATTGGCGATGCGGCGCGATCCTCCGATCCAATCTACTCCGACCTAATCAGGGAGGCCTAGACCATTCCCCGTGCCTTGTTCGGTGTCGTGGGTGTGCGTTTCGCTCGATGATCCAGGATGCTCCTCGATGGGCCTCGCCGAAAAAACGCACACGTCCGAGCCATGCCGAAACAATCGCGACGTCGGAGGTGTGGGATCTGGATGAACTATCTACTTCCAGGTGCTGCCGCCCGCAAGTCGACGCAAGCGCTCTGACCGGGGCATCTCGAGACGCTTTCCGTCCTCCCTTCTCCCTCCCCCTTCTTCCCTCCTCCTCCGCCTGCTCCTCCTCTCCCCTGGTCATGCCTCCTCCCTCCTCCGCCCTCCTCCTCTCTCGTCCCTCGTCCCTCGTCCCTCGTCCTCCTCCTCCTCCTCCCCCTCCTCCTCCTCCGAGTCCCAGTCGTCCTTCCTCGCCCCTGAACCTCCACATCCTCCTCCCCCTCCCCTCGCCTTCCCTTCCGCTCCCTCCCTGCGGGAGCGCCCGAGAGGGGGGCCCCCGGGCTTACAGGAGGGGGCTTCGCAAATCATCGCCCGAGGCACGCGCGCGGACGACGGGGTGGGGGGCCGGGGACGTACCGCAAGACGAAGAGGGGGGCCATGAGATCCGAAAAGACATCATGGCCCCGGCCACGGCATCCAACCCCGCCCAGTCACCCCCCCCCTTCTTGGCCGCCCCTGCCTCCTCCTCCTCCTCCTCCTCCTCCTCCTCCTCCTCCTTCCCCTCCCCCTCGCCCTCCCCCTCGCCCTCTCCAGGGAGCTCTCAAGACGCCCTCCCTGATGGACGGCGGCGCCGCCCCTGCTCGGCGTGCCCGGCGTCGCTCGAAGGACCCCCCCGCGCGAGGTGCCCGCCCTCGCGGCAGGCCCGCCTGACACGAGAACGCCCTCGCGGCGGCCCGAGGCAGGCGGCGGGCCAACGCAGACAGAGGCCTCCCAGAGGGGGTCCGAATAGATTGCGGTCGGGCATGTCGCCCTACAGGCGGATCTCGAAGGAACAAAAATATCTAAACAATAGCCGAAACATGCTCAAACATACTCGTGCGAAAGAACAAGAAAAATCGTCCGCAAACGACTTTCTGACAATTTCTGAACATTGCTCCTGTAGAGGGGCACGCCCGACTTAAGAGTAGATAAGGTCGGAGGATCGCGTCGCATCGCCGATGCATCGCCGATGCATCCACGATGCATCGGCGATGCGTCGGCGGTGCGTCGGCGGTGCATCGCCGGCACCGGCGCGGAGACATGTGGGCTCCACATCGAGCCGCATCGCCGATGCTTCGGGGATGCGGCGCGATCCTCCGACCCCATCTACTCCGACCCCATCTAGGAGGCCTAGAGCAGGGGACCCGAGAGGCCACTGGCGGGCGGGCACACTACCCAGACCCCCTCGGGTCATAAAAAACAATAGGACGGAGGGCTTTGGGCTACGTATGTTCGGCCTCCGTGGAAAGCTGGCCGCGCCCAGGGACCGCGCGGAGCGACTCCAATAGGATGAGAAGCCGGTCCCGGACAACGGGCCGAGACCTCTGGGGTTCAACGGTCATGAGCAAGCATGACGCCGGGGGCCCGGGTGTCCAGACTCCCGACATCATGGCGGCCCTGACGCCTTCCCTGGCTTTTCGTCCTGAGCCGTGCTATGACGGCCCCGGGGCCCGGCGAGTGCCCCCAGAGGCCGAAAATAGTCAACAGAGGGAACACACGAAGGACGTACGCGCCCACCCACGCACAAGAGCAGTGCCCCCATCCGCGAGACTGGCCGCGTGATACGCACGTTCCCGCAATGCGTATTCTCGAAACCAACGTGGACTCATGAACGTGTACGTCCTTTGTTGACTCCTGGTGAACGTTTTCTTATGCGGCGCTTCGACATTTGGCGGAAGGGCGGGGGGGGGTCTGGCCCGGGACCTCTGCTTCACGCGACGGTCTGCAGCAGCGCGTCCTGGGGGACAAGGCTCCCCCTGCTTGAAAAAGGCGCCAAGACCAAGATCTACTCCAGGGGCGGGGGGGAGGGCTAGGGTTAAGGTCGGGTGTGTCCCCCTACAGGGGGATTTGGGAAGAGAAAAAAAAATGTCCAAAAATACCCCACACTTGTCAAACAATACTCCAAAAATCGTCCACAGACTATTGTTTGACTATTTTTGAATATTATTCCCCCTGTCGAGGGACAGGCCCGACTTAAGGCTAGGGGTGCGAGGGCCCGCGCCGAGCGGCAAAGCAATGAACAAAAAGACGGTCACCGGACCCGAAGCCGTCCGTCGTGCTGTCTGCTCCCCGCGCGAGGGGGTCCAGGCCCCCCGGCGGGCGGCGCGCGGCCTACTCGAGGGGCTCCCCCGCGAGGGGCGAGCCCGCGCGCGTGCTGCCCGACGCCAGGGACTCGCTCAGCACGTCCTCTGGGTACCGGCCGGGAGTGAAGGGGCTCTGGGACACACAAATAAATACACACAAATGATAGGACTCCCCATATTTGCCCATAGCTTCCAGGTTTTTGTCTTACCCCCCACTTCCCATATTTCCCCATATTCTCTGAGGGATCGACGATTGATTGTGTCTGTGTGTTTTTCCCTCCTTAGGGAGCGCATCCCCGGCCCCGTGACTGGCATCGCCTCCTCTCGATGCACAGAGGACAGAGGACAGAAAAAAACCTCTTGGTGTTTTTGTTGTTGCCTTTCGAGCTTGTTCTGTGTTTCTGTGTTCTGTGTTCTGTGCTTGGATCTTTTGTTATGTTTTTGTTTTTTTGAGGCCTCCAAGGTGGGGTCCGAGCAGATGAGGTCTCAGGCTCTCGCCGCATCGCCGACGCATCGGTGACGCATCGGCGATGCATCGATCGGCGACGTCGGCGTGAAGCAGATCGGGCCCCACATCGAGCCGCATGGCCAGTGCATCGGCGATGCGGCGCGATCCTCCGACCCCATCTACTCCGACCCCATCTAGGAGGCCTAGAGATACCGTCGTCTCAAGGATCCCCTCGGTCTTCGAGGGCGCAGTCCTGCGATTGTCGTCGCCACTTGGCAAGTCAATCTTAGGGATAGGGAGTTACAACCAACCCGTGTAATAGGCACGCGCGGTAGGGATGCAGGGGCCTTGGAAGGCCATGTCGACTCTCTGCGAGCGAGGCGCCGCCAGCGAAAGTGGCCAAGGATGGGCCGAAGGGGAAGGATGCAAGGACACCCATCGGTCGGAAGAAGTAGGTAGAAGCATGAAGTAGGAAGGCGCTGAAAAAGATTGGGTGTCCGCCCGCCCGCTAGAGAGGACGGAAAAGGTGAGGCCACTCGATCATTGAAGTAGGGAGGCGCCGAAAGTCGCTTGGAACCTGGAAAATCCCAAAATACATACTTTCAACGAAAGATGTGACTACCTACCAGACCACCCCAACCCAACCCGAAGACCCGAATTTCGGGTTGGGGGGGGGGTAAGGGTTCCACATGTGTTTTTTCGATGTTTCCCGACCCCCCCCACTGGAAATCGAGGGTAAATCTGAGCCTTCGGATTGGGTTGGGGTGGTTTGGTGGGTGGTGAAGATGGGTACACTTGGGAAGGTTGCCCATCCTTACAATGCGGGTTGACTGTAAGCTCGATGCCGGTTCTCTGGGGAGCCCATCCGGAGTCCGCTCGGTGGCCCCGCTCGGCGGCCCCGCCTCGGCGCCCGCGTGCGCTCAGGGAGCACTACACCGGGTAGCGCCCAAACGGGGTAACAGACCCGCCATCCAGGTGGAAAAACTGCAACGACCAGAACTAACAAATGACTACCTACCAGACCACCCCAACCCAACCCGAAGACCCGAATTTCGGGTTGGGAGGGGCAAGGGTTCCATACGTGTTTTTTCGATGGTTCCCGACCCCCCCCAACTGGAAATCGAGGGTAAATTTGAGCCTTCGGGTTGGGTTGGGGTGGTTTGGTGGGTGGTGAACAAATGCACTGCATTTTTCTGCAACGCAACAACAAAAACTGCACTGCAATTTGTTGGCAACTGGTTGCGGAAAAAAAACTGCAAACAAGCCCCACAAGACCGGGTAACAGAGTGCCCAAAACAAAAAGTTGCAGTGCAGCAGCCGAAAATGTGCAACGCAGCCAGCATGTGGAAGGTGCTGCATCGAACGCGAAAGCCAAAGACAACTGCACTGCAACAAAAGGGCCATTTGATGCCTCGAACCGGCCGTTTCCTGTTACCCCGTCTGCTGTTACCCCGTCTCGGGCTCCCTGATGCGCTTGCTCACCGAGGCCCTCCGGCACGACGCAGGCGGCGTGATGAGGGCCCAACACTCGGCGGCGAGCGAGGGGGGTGGAAGTGAGGAGAAGGTCCTCTCAGGCGGCAGCGGGGCTCCTCCCTGCCCCTTTGGCCTCCTGGGATTTCTTGATGCGTGTGCTTCGGGGGAGGCTCGGGCAACTTCTCAGAAAAAAACCCGAGGACGTCCAAGCCTTCCAAGAGGGCCTTCTCCTTCTCACTTCCCCCCATGGGCTCGCCGCCGAACCGCGGGGCGTGCTGCAGCCGAGACCCTGAAATCAAGGACCGCTTCGGGCTCTGGAAGGGCCCCAGCTGTCGGATGGGGACGATGGGGTGGAGGGGACGGAGGAGGACTGGGAAGAAGTTGGACAGGGAGCAGGTGTAGGAGGAGGAGGAGGTGGAGAGTAGGTGGAGGAGTTCGCTGGAAAATCGCTGGCAACCAAGATGGGGAGAGGGGGAGGCCCGCCGCGGCCAGAGGGGTGCCCCATGAGTTCCGCATGCAGCGCTCCTTCTGGTGCCACGAGGGCAACATCGGCGGAGCGGAGCTGGGTATAAACACGCGTGGGCGACGAGAAACTCGGCGTCGAGCGAGGAGGGGGACGAGGAGATGGAGAGGGCCCTCTCAGAAGGCGGCGGGGCTTCACAGAAGCCCTCGCGCCCTCTGAGAAATTGTTTTTTGTCTCTTCGGGGGAGGCTCGAGAGACTTCTCAGAAACCCGGGGGACTTCCAAACACTCTGAGAAGATCTTCTCCGTCTCGCGTCCCCCCTCGTTGCCCGCCGATTATGATATCACGATGGCTGCATCCGGCGGAGCTGAACTGGGTGAACACATGTGTAGGGAGCCCACAAGGGACGTACGCGCCCAGCTATGTACATGAACACGGCCCCTCGATTCGCGAGACCGGCCGCGTTATGCGAACATGTGTGCAATGCGTGCTCTCGAAACCAGCTCGGATTCATGTACGTGTACGTCCTTCTTTCGCTGCTGAATGTGAACGACGAGGAGACGAGGGTGCGACCCTACGCGGGGGCTCTCGCGGGCCGCCAGCGCGGCATGCCACATCGGAAGCCGAGGGCGCCGACGCGCGAACTTACGCGGGCATCTTGCGCGCGAAAGACGGCGCAGTCGACCCCGCTTGTGCTGCGCCGCTCGGATTGGGCCAGCACGCGGCGGCGAGCGAGGGGGGGAAAGCGAGATGGAGGAAGCCTTCCCACAGGCGGCGGGGCTTCTCGGAAGCCACCCCGCACTGAGAAGCTTTCGGTGTCTCCGGGGAAGGCTCCAAAAACTCCTGAGAAGGCCAGAGGCCTTCCGAGCCTTCTGAGAAAACCCGCCCCTTCCACATTGAGCGTACCATACCCGGTCCCTATCCCCACGGGCTTGACCTGGACACCACTGGCCGACTTATACGCCTAGCTGGAGATACAGAGGCTCTTCCCTTCGAGTTTCGAGGGGCAGATCCTCTAATGAGATGCTGCGATGGTGGGGATCGGAATGGGAATTGGACTCGGTGAAACTATCCAGGGCAGTCGGAAGGAACAGGTAGAAACAAGAAGTAAGAAAGCGCAGAAACTAGATCGGATACCGGCCCGCCCGAACAAGAACTATAAAACCAACGACCATCGACTCTAGAAGTAGGATGGCGCTTGAAGCAGATTGGGATCTGGGAAAACCAAAAATATAGAGGCCTCCTAAATGGGGTCCGAAAACATGGGGTCGAAGGATCGCGCCGCATCGACGACGCTCGCCGATATATCGGCAATGCATCGGCGATGAATCCGCGACGTCGGCGCGGAGGAATACGGTCTCCACATCGAAACGCATCGTCGATGCATCGGCGATGCGGCGCGGTCCTTCGACCCCATCTACTCGGACCCAATGTAGATGGCCTAGAGAAGTACCTCCTTCCAACGACTGGCAGGTGCTGGCCGACACACGCCCTGAGGACCTGCAACCCGCGCCCAAAACGGAACCCCCGGGGCACGAGGCACGGAAGGGGTCCACGGACACACACACACACACACATTTTGCATCGGCGGCTAGGCAGAGTGACTGCGCTGGCGGAAAAAGCATTGGTAGGACACGCACACAAAACAGACACACGAATCCCAGGACTCCTAGTGTGGTTTATTATTTCTATTTGGAGTATCGTTTTCCCTCCCGCTCCTCATATTTTCCCATGTTGTTTCCTGGGGATCGACGACTACCTGTGTCTGTGTGTGTTATGCTTCCTCTCCCGAGGCATGGCCGCGGGGCCCAACAACGCAGTTTGAGGCCCCCCCGCAGTTTGAGTGTCTCTCTCTGGGCCCCCCCGCGGGGCACAGGCCCGCAGGGGGCGATACAACAACAACAGCAACAACAGCAACACCAACAACGACGACAACGCAACAACAACAAGAACAGCAGCAGCAGCAACAACCACAGCAACAACAACAACGAACACAACAGCAACAACAACGACAACTGTAGCTATAAAACAACAACAGCAAACAACAAACAACAACGACAGCAGCAGCAGCAGACAGCTACAATCAATAGCAACAGCAGCAACAACAACAGCAACAGCGACAACAACAACAACAACAACAACAACAATCATTGTAAGACTGTTTGCTCCCATCTGCTCACATGCTAATCAATACGTATATCCCGAAACCTCGGTACCCCCCTGGGAGCGGCGCCAATTCAAAAAAAAAGTTGGGCGCCAACCCAGCGTAAAACGGAAGGAAGTCTTGGGCAAGAGCGTTGGTTTTGTCGGGGCGGCGGCTTTCGGCGGCGAGGAAGAGCACCTCCTTGAGTAAAAAAGGGAGGAAACTTCGAGCAGGAACGCTGTTTGTGCCGGGGGCGGCGCCGATGAGAGACAGACCAACGCGCCACTCCAGGGCGAAACGGGGGGAAGCCTTGAGCGGGAGCGCTGGTTTTGTTAGGACGGCGGCTTTCGGCGACGAGCCAGAACACCAGCTCAGAGTAAAAAAGGAGGAAGTCTCGAGCGGGAGCGTTGTTGTTGTTGCTGGGGGGCCGGTTTTGGCGGCCCCCCCAACCGTTCGAGCCTCGGCGGCGCCTCAGCGAAGAACGCCAGGGCACCTGTAATGTGTCCAACAATGATCCCGTTTAGAAATTAGCGTTCAACAACAACGACCACAACAACAACGACAACAACAACAACA